ATAATCACCTTTTCCCACAATGAGTGCTTTCGTTCCATGTTAGCCTTTACTGTAACCCATTTGATCTGCTAAGTACTTATAGAAATAAGTGTTTGCAATATGATAACAATGCCGCCTTTTTTTAAAACGTTTCCGTATACCTCCTCTTCATTCGGAAATAGTTAGTATCGGGTCTGCCGTCAGGCACAGATTAAAAGTCTCCCTCATCCTTGCTGCGTATTGGCTGCCCAAAGTTGTCAACGCGTTTTAATTAGTTATTAGGATAAGAAATTGTGTGTGGATCATGAAATGCGAATCTGGGTAATTATCTGATTGAGTGATGTAGTGCACTGGAAAAGTGACATTCTTCGAGTAATTACTAGACGATTATTAATCTGTATTAAACGTTGTCTGAACAGACTGAGAGGTAATTGAATGAGTTCTTTTGATCTAACGTGTAGCATTAATTAAATTCACGAAGTGAAATGTTCTTTTAGTCTTCACCGTTGATGCCCACTTCATCAATTCTACTAGGCACATCTTAGGTGAAGACTCCTAATCACACATTTAACCCAGACTACCGTTTGGTACGCCGTTCTACGCATCCTTCACAATAACCAGTCAGCTCAGGTCAGAACTTTCTTCGAACCACGATAACCCACCGAATATATCGCTGAACTCCTTCATTCCTAACTTTTGATGTGACTCCGTCAGTACCCTGAGTGCGAAGCTGCGGACACTCATTTGAAAAAATGTGGAAATCTGTGATGGAGGAAATTTCAAAAACACCAGAGAATTTTTCGAAGCTTGGCACTACGGTCAATCAGCAATCAACAAGCACATTGAAATCGATCCAATTTATCAACCAATCAGGAAAATTATGCGAATACCTGAATAACCGAAGACTACTAACGTATCACATCGGCATCTGTCTTGTATTTGGAATTGTGCTTTTAAATGCTGTACTGAATCGCGCTACTTACATCACTGCAAAAAACGTATAGAACAAAAAGTAATACAAACCTCATAAAAGTGTATATTGTTAGATGAGTGATAATCGTAATAGTAATATTTCACTAGTAAGTGGTCAGTGCATGCCAAGCTAACAGACTGATATATCAAAACATGATCTTGTATTAGAAGTACGTGATAATGTGCGTTTTACTAATAATTTGTACTGTTTTCATGAAGAAACTTAGACTTTCACTCTATTCTTACCTGTGTTGAGGACCCGTTCATAATAATCCTCTATCTCTCTATATGCATATAGTTTGTGTGAGTAGTCTTAAAAGAAGTCGAATTGTGCTTATCCTAGACGTTGAGTTTCTAAAGTGCTTTCTGGAAATTATTTCAAAGCAAGATAAGCTTGTTCAGAATCAGCGGTCTAAAGTTTTCGAGATCATGAAGCTAGAATAGCATGTAATTGAATTGTCTGATATTAGGTTATTTCTGGAACCTAATGCATTCTTAAACAACGCGGATATGACGGAGGCTTTCTGATGGACAATTACTGAAAACAAATCTAATGTTTGCACTAGTAAAGAAAAGTAGAACACGTAGAATGATCTCGAACGACTCTTTTGGGTTTTATCACGTTAATGGACTAATAAGTAATTATGCGAAATCTACCGAATCATGAAACTACTCAATCATACAATCAACCAACTCTAAGCATTTCGAATACGGAAGGTCCGCCCAGATGAACGTAGCCACTCAAAGTCGTGCAGGCATATTACACTCTAACCTAACTTTCCATCCATTCCGTTACGTCTAAATTTCTCTCTCGTCCGTTATTCAAGCATGTTCGATCGATCGGCACGTAACTTAACGCACAAGTAACCTGGAGAACTGAATCCCATGTTACGTTCCAAAGGCTATTATTCATAAATTAAAAGTTTTCAACTCAAACATATTGCCCAGATAATTATCATAACAGTTGCGTAATAAGCCATCAGTTTTCACGTTCTCGTAGCAAAACTACGGTACGAAAATACCATGGAAAAACGGAAAGGAACCGCTCGTATCCGAGATCAAATACCAAAGCGAACATTTTCATAATTTTTGAGTAAAATAAATGAAATTTATGATATTCAGTATGACAATTATTAATCAACCAAAAACGTCCAGTATATCCTGTATACTTTGGCTGCCCGTGGATCTGACTCTTATTTAGATGTTTTTTATCACCTATTCATGTATATAATCGTCGACTTAATCGCGTTAGCCAATAACGGAATTAAATAAGTCGAATAACGAGAATCGATCTGTGCATACATATATTTTGTATATGAAGCGAATGAAACAGAGTAAAGCAAAATGACACGCCGTGAAGATGGCTGGGAAGCCAACTCCATTTTAGTCAAGCGTTACTCAATATTTATAGTCAGACAAAAATAAGCTACATACATGTGAATAATGGGATAAGAAGGGCACACACATATACGCTCATATAAAAACAGTCTAGATTGATAAGCGAATAAATAACAAGGTCAAAGTATGGCTCAAGTAGAACGAATAGAATGGGTGTCCAAAAGTTAGAATAAGGTATATGGGCTTAGCATAATAACTGACACTACAATACACTGTATACTTGACACCTAAGATATGTATTGGTGACGAACGAAATGCCAATATTCCTTTTAAACACAGAACTAACGAAGTAAATTTTACTTGATTATGCCGTACTACGTTATTGTTTATAGCACACAAAGCGTTTTTCACTGACTCGTATAATATAAAGACCCAAACTCTGTGTTAAACGGTTCAATTTGAGAAAGAGGATAGGTCATAAGGTTATAACTACAAAACACTTCAATCGACACAGTCTGTGCCATGCAGTCAAGGGCTTTTTTAACACAAACTAGCGTGCTAATCAGCAGAAGGAACAGTTGATAAACAACAGTTCTATATCTGAGGAAGTAATAAAATGTAAGCAGTTCCTAAACAAGACTACATAATAAAACCTCAGACAAGGAGGAATAAACAACGTGAATTGAGGTTAATAGACACCTGAATAAAGAATAAAATACAAGACAGGGAGCAGAAACAAACAGGTACCCATCCCAATGCAAAGTAAGGCTACAAACAAACTATCTGCATCTCCTGAACAAAGTTTAGAGACCACCAGAACCTTCACTATTGAGGTTTGTTCTGTCTCAGACAAGCCACTAACGACTTAGGAGAAATAACAGAACCTTTTAACCCTCTCACTGTGGAAACCTCAATTTCTGGTCATACGTAGTGCTCAGTTACGGTATAATCGATACTCCACAGATGCCCCGAACTGTACATAAACGAGCGCAATTGCCGCATGTAACTGACAATGTTACGCATCATATCACGACTACATGACCATCTTTATTTCCAAAAGCATGAAGACTAGCTCCCGAAAAGCTAAGACTGGTTTGAAACACATTAGCTCATGTGATGCATTAAGGAATTGTCCGGTGATCACGTAGCCCGTGAACAACTCATTTGGACATGGTGTCCAAAAGCATGTCCAACTGGCGGATAATTACGACCTAATGCGAAAATCTTATCTGACCGTTATCACATGTATCACACCCATTACCTGACTGTTACCTTCAAAGGCGAGTCTGTGTTCCAAAAAATTTGTTTGGTGAAAGCGTATAAGCACACTCCCTCGTCTTCATGAACTGTGAGCCGGTATACAACAGTGCGAATGTCTAACTTCAATCAATCTATGATCTTGCCCAACTTTTCATCTATTGTATGATGTGGATAACTGCCTATTTCACACGTGACACCAACTGGACTCCACTAATCACCGCTTCTCACTACAATTCCAATAGTTACATCATGACGCTAGTTGACACCCGCAACCGAAGTTCCTGAGTTCTAGTTCCACGTGCAGGATTGTGTATGCGCACCATTCAAGAGTCCGTTACTGAGAATAAACTGCCATCAATTACTTCTAGATTTTCAACGGTGATCTAGTTTAGATGGAATCGCGATTCGTACTATGAAGATATCTCTTAAACATATCTCCCTCCGTACTCATAATCAATATTATTTGAAAATAACGTTCTGAAACACGAATAATATACTAAAGTAAGTTATCTTCTGGTCATAAATAGAAATCATGAAGTACTTCGTTTTTCATCGTAACAATCATTATAGATCATACATACATCGAATCAAATAAGATTGATCTTGATTTAAGTAAATTTATTTGGTTGAGTGAAAAAGTTTTAATTAAGTAACCAACTAACACAAAGGAGAAAAACAGTGAAAAAATTATTTGACAGATAGTGAAAAATAGTTGTTCAATGAAATAAGAGAGACAGTGTTGTTATATCCTAGCGGAGATTAAAGTACTAATAACTTCCGAGAACTATTAACGGACTAATATTTTATATATAACTGTTCAGCAACTAGACTGTGTATATCTTTATTCCTCTTATTATAAGCTTTATTCTGATCTATAGTTTATTATTATTATACGATTCACTGTTTTTAAGTTATACTCAATTATCTGATTACCGTCTCCCAAGTTCACGGCCACATTTTGACTTCATTTTGTACAAATGTTATTTCCTATTTGACGATGTAATACAGTCTGTTTGGATGATATATAAACCAATTATGTTTGAAATAAATGATTCGCATAGTGGAAGCTGTTATTAGTGTTTTGAACTCAGTTGGACAGGTTAGACAAACAAAGGACCAATAAGTACACTGAGCTGCTCAGACTGGTCGATCATCATTAGTCTAGTACAGTACAAGAGTGAATAAAGCGTATTTTGATTGGCGAATAAATTACGTGATAACTAGCCGGACTTAAAAGTCACAACAAGTGTTTCATTCACAACTGAATGAAGAATGAAATGGTTATCGAAATGGTTGTGAAAAGTCAACGAAAGTATTTAGATGGTATTCATTTTGCCTGTTTTTAGTTAACATTATAAGATAATTTACAACGACAACAACAGATCAAGAAGGAAGAAATTCAACACAAGTCAAACATGAATTTCTTTTGACTTATATAACTCAACAATGTTCACTGCAATTGGTGTCGACGCCAACCACGAGAGAAGAGGAGCGTAATTTTCTTCGGACGCCTCTGCGGGTATGGAGTCGGGTTGCAAGTTGGGGCGGCCTGATTCGCAGAGGCAACGTCGAGTGGAATGTTCTGCCGGGTCAGCATTAGCTGTAGCGGGTGCTGTCGACGGAGTGGAGTGGTGGGACGTATGACGAATGAAATTCAAACAAGTTAAACATTATTTATTTTTTGAGGACTTATATAAGTCAAAAACAATGTAAATGAAAAATAATTGTGTATTTTATTCACAACAGCGATAAGAAATCGCCAATTTGTGTAAGCTGGTTGGTTATAGTAAATGAACTATGAAACAAAAACAAAACAAACAATTCATATCCACAAACTGCACAACACTATAAAAATAGACAATTACAAATTTTATGATTAAACATTTCATGGATCTAACAGATGATCTACATCTCCTCTTAAAATAGCAAGTGCATCAGACGCTTTATTACACCAGTGTTTTGTCCATTGTGAAATCAATTCTTCTATTTCGTCATCAGTGAAATTGAAATTGAAGTCTAGACTAGCAGAAAAACTGAGAGGATCGAAGTTATTTATTCCATAATTTGGTGTCACATTGATTTTATGGTATATACGATTCAGATTACGTCGAATATCATTGTGATAAGACCTATAAAGAGAATTATGACCGGAAGCAAATGCCCAAGAGTTTCGGCCAAAACGCTGACTTCTGAATGGTTCTTTCAAATGCTTTGGATTCACTGTGGTACAGTTATTAGACATTTCACCTCTACAAATGGGTACACATACTGACTCTTTTCTGTAGTACTCACTGGCACTACTATTATTTAAAAGTGACATTGTATCAGCACAATTTGTGTTATTTGAATTTATGATTTCAACAATTCTGTCCAGTTCCATTTTGCTATCCTGTGTGATATTTGACTTTATATCAGCTGTTGTTGGTGAGACTTCTTCAAAAACTCCAGCTGTTGAAATTTCTGTTTCAATCTGCTTCTCCACAAGTGGTTTGCAAAGTGGGTACTCTTTGTCTTCGATACAACAAAGCTGGTCCTCACTTAGTTTGTTCCACTCGTCTGATTCCTCTTTGATATTTTCTTTGCTCAACGCAACGCAATTATCAAGCTCAACAGACCCCGAACAGGTAGATTCCGAGGAGTAGCCATTATTGCAAGTTTCCGATGGCAAATTATTCTTCAAGCACAAACTGAAATCGTTTACCGTTACTGCTGATGTAGGAGTAGATGATAATGAATCAACAGTGTCACAATACGTCTCGTTTGTCTGACATGATGTAGTTGATAAAGATACACGAGCAGGTGGTAGTGCAGCTCTCCTACTGTAGCTGCTATATCCAGTTTTTAAACTCAGATTAACTCTACGAAGGATCTGCCTATTAAGTTGTTCGATTTTTCGCATCACTTCACGTTGTTGTAAACGCCATGGGTTGATAAATAGGTTGAGCCACTTCATAATTGCTACTGTTCCAGCTGCTGTCTCTAGTTCTTCCTCAATAGTATGTTGATCGGTTAATAAGTTGCGTAAATCAACTTTCAGTTTTGTTGCATTGAACAAACCAAGATCATAACCTAAAATATAAAGAATAGAAACAAACCACAGAGTTGAGTTCTGCATTCGTCATCATTTTTTTTGCAGCTCATTTGATTCAAATCGAAGTTTCTCGAGCTCAACAAGATTATTAGGTGACTATTTTTGTGGACGTAAGACTTTCTTTGACCCTGTAGCGGTAAATAAATCCCCAAACTAAATAGCTCAATAGGTTTTCGACATTGGATGCTGACCATATGTTTTAGTGGACTCATCTAGCTGAAGGCGCTCGGTCATGCATCCGCACCAGATCACGTGCTGTCACGCTGTGCTCAACAACAATCGCAATCACTAGCCAGATTAGATCAGAGATTCCCGATATATTGGTTATTGCCAAATACACTCTTCCGATCTCCTCGACTCTGTCTTTTGATTTCTCTCGGTGGGAACAAAGCATATTAGAAGGTGTTATTGGTAGAAGCGTTGTCAAACACTGAATACCTGTATCATCCTCAACCCAATCAAGTTGACATTTCACCAGATCACTCTCTAATACAGAAGGTATCACAATCGAAACACGTTTATTTATAAACGGATTTGTGTGTTGACATAAAAGGGATCTTATCCTTTATACGAGCTAAATAATTTCGAAGGGTGTTAGTTATATTGCATTATGTTACGATAATAATATCAACACTTTTTGGAGTTCTTCTGTTGTATCCGAGACCCCATGCCTCATTCTATTCACATCTCACACTATTACCATACATACAAACCCAGTTCTATCCATTCATATTACAAGTGTCACATTTTTCACCCACTAACAAACACACAAATGCACAAACATGTTTCATATAAGTCACCTTGATCTCAGTGATATGACATTGACTTAGTCAAACTTCTTTTGGTTAGCAGTACTAAATCACTTCGCTTTGTTCATTTGAACTGTTTAGACTTGAGTTAGTTTTATTCCCTTATTATAATACATACAAATATATTGTAAGTAATTATATACACTGAAAACTAAACATTACAGATTGCAAATAGCGGTACTCTGGTACTTTCAGAAGAATACTGACAAATGAGTTAGAAAACAGAATGAATTTACATAATTCCTTAGTTTTGTCTAAATTTTCATACTCCGACAAATCTTTCATAATCTTTTGACATTTGAAGTAATAAATTCTGTATGAAATTGAGTGAGCTGAGATGAGATAATAGGGACTAGCAGTGGAATCTAAGAAGCACGTTTCATCCCATTCGGGACTCGTCAACTGAATGTGCTTACATACCGGAGATGATGTCCACCTTAGGACTCGAACCTAGTAGCGTTCGCTTCAAACACCATTGCGTTATCCACTTAGCTACTGCATTCAAAATTGAGTGATGATAACACTAAAACCTAAATGATGGTGAAACTTTCATCAAATTGAGTATGAGTTCCAAATTTCTATATCAAATCCCATCTCATCCCATCCGATTAAATAATACAGAATCATGGTAACGAATGCATAAGAAATGCTCACATTTCTTCAACAGTAAAATTTCTTCAGTACAGTTTATTCAATCAATCTATAATCATTAGATTATATAAGTTTCTCAACATAAAACCAAAACCAAATCCGATCAAAGAGTCGAATGAAATTTTAAGCTTATTTTATAGATAAACCATATTACTTACCTGCCATTAATCCAGCCACGTTATCCAACCAATCAAAATGTGATTCTTTTCTTTCGAATTTTTGAATTTTACATCGTTTAGCTTTATCAGCCATATGTTGAAACAATGACCAAGGTTTTTCAAATATTAATATACATGTTTTACACCAAAATATTTGTCCATATTCTAATTCAGCTCTTATTTTCACATATTTAACATGATCTCCTTCTTTATCTAAAAAATATTCTAGATAATGATTTTTTAATAGTGTACAATCATTTTCATTTGGACGTCTTACAACAACTTGACTACAAGAACCTAGAAAATAAATATTTTCAAAATTAGGAAACCTTAACTTTCTAAAGTACAATTTGATTGAATGATAAAATTCAATTGTTTATTGTTTCATATACAAGTGAATTCAGTAATTAAGTGAATAAGCAAGGCATTAGGTGTTATAAAAAAAAGGGCACTGAGTTCTAGTCTTAAAATAAACATTCACAGAAGGATTCAAGTGTATCCTACTGACAAGTTTCAAATAAGATAATACAACAGTTCGGTCGAACGTCATTGGTTTATTCACAGTACAAGAGTGAATAAGTTCGATTGGCGGGTAAATTACGTGTTGACTAATCGAACTTAAAAGTCACAACATATTGGCTACAGGGATTTTGCGAAAAAAATACAAAAATTGATGACGTGAATTTTGAATAGAAATAAGCCATAATAGTTGCCGGTGGTTTTTAGGGTTATTATTCGCAGAAAAAAGGAACTGCAATTTCTTCAGAACAGTTGCAGTTATTATTAAAACAGCAGCAGCAGCAGCAGTAAATGTCAGCATTTCAACAGCAACTACTTGAAGCAGTTTTGGGCTAACTTTTCATTCAACCAGATATTATAGAAAATAAGTAATCTATTTATGATGCAGACGATGGTGCAGTAATGGCCATTTCAGAAGCATGTCATGTGGAGGGTTAAAATCCCTTTATAACTGAAGCAAAGTGTAAAAAATGGTTAATTGGCTGGCTCACAGAAAGACGATATCTTATTAAATGAACATGAAGTTGTGACAATACCAGATGATCAGAAAACAGAAGATCCTGTAGATGAAGTCCTGAGTCCAGTGCTCTTAGAGGTATGAGGGCGTTTATCACTTCCCGGTTACCAACACCGTGGAAGGGTTCTTCTGGAGGTACCTGAAAAGGAGATTGGATTAAGGGTGGTCTTAGTGACCTGAGAGCGTGACGGCAGTGCCCAGGGGACAACTGCTTGAGGTCGGTCACACATGACCTTTTTATGGGTAATTGTTGTGTTAGCTCCGTACTTGTTGAGACCTTATCGCCGGAGACGGGAGTCCGTGGATTAAGGCAAGATGTGCATTTTTAGGGTCGACCTTTTCTAACCCCACCCTTCCTTGTGAGAAGGCAGCATCGCTGACATTCTGGTTGTCTGAAGAAAACACCTAACTGCTGTCACACGTCTGTACAGTCAGCATTACGACTTCGCCTTCGGACCTTAGGTTTGTTACTTTTAGTCTTATCGCTCTTCAACCGACCTGTCTGACATGGTAGGACTTTGAGGAACGGTTGTTCCAGCCAGTATAGCTCCGTTGATTCATCGCGATAAGCAAGCTCGATAACCATGTCAAGGTAGCAGCAACGGTCGGGAAGTCCTTAGTCCAGAATTAAATGAAGTATTATCGGCCTCATCTAACTCTGAAATAAACTTCAACCACAATAAAATTATGGTTCGCGTGATATTATTCGAAAAAGATGTAAGGAGTCGTATTCAAAAAATAACTGGAGCAGTACAATGAACTCAGTTGTAACAAATAACACTCAAACTCATTAGAAGACAGAAGCTTATAATGAACCAACATCTCTTATCTGATTTCTCATGTCAGTTTACCAGATATGGTTTCTCATAATGATGCCTATAATTTTGATAAAATTTCTTATAAAAATGACAAATGTATATGGGATGAATTAAATGATGATCAAAAATTGTAATGCAATTCTGTAAGATGATGATTATCCTAATGACCCATTATTCACTAATGAGATTCTTAATGATATTTAAATATACTGAGTATAATCAACTTCAACATTAGGAGACAAATTACTATGCTAAATGGTTACACTCCGATACAACGATAAATTTTAGATTATTTTAATGTGAACAAAAATTGTCACTAACGAAGTCATCACACTGTTCAGAACTTTATTGATTTAACTTTAACACATTTACACCATTCAGATAGGATATTATAGCTAAGTTTTTTTCTTTTTTTTCTTTTTTTGGTTGTTTGTTTATCTTTCAAACATGCAAATTCATATTTTGTTTTAATGTCCAAATAGTTTATCTATTGATGAGTATTACTGTTGTGAACAAGAACAGGAGTCGAGACAATCGAATTGCCTCATATCTCATTGGTCATGCATTTTCATACAGATTGCCTTCCATTTACATTCTTCCCTTATCGATCTTCTACTGAAATACATTCTATGCCTGACTACCGTTCCATACTACTTATGTGCATATAAGTAACCCACACCACACTATTACTTATAGCAAAATAAAACGAATGGAGATAAAGCATTTAAAAAAAATAAGTAATACCACATAGCAACTGATTCTTCTCATTGGATAAATCATTTAAGTGATCACAAACAACTGTAGATGTGACACTATTTTGAGAATCTTCTTTTACAGTTTGATTAATTGGATGTTTATTTGTGCAAAGGTAATTTAGTGTACTATTAGCTTTTATTGAATAATCACCATCACCATCATCATCATGAGATGCAGAACATGGTAATGATGATTCAGAATAAGTTGTTTTGTTTGTAGTGGTAACCAAATTCCTTATGTTCGATGAATTGGAACTTTCAGCTTGTATATTATGATCTTCTTGTAAATAGATTGAAACATTTTGATTGGATGGTTGATCATGGTTACTTATTAAATTTGTATTCTTTTTATCTTGAATCAAATCTAATGAATTTTCTATCGTTTTCTCTTGTTTCTTATTTAAAATTGATGATTGTATAACATTGTTATTATTTGTCCCAGTGAATTCGTTTAACTTCAGATTCGCCTTTAGAAGCTACAACCAGAAAATAACAATAGGACATTTTGAAAATAATGATATAACTAAACTAATATTCATAGTCAACATTGCATTAGACATTTGTGATGTGATATGTTGATGAGAAAATTGAAAATATCATTGGAAATAGTTGAATGAGTAATGGGTTAAATAATCCCATCTATTCGATTAATTGAATGTATAAACATCTCAGTTAGTCAGGGAGTCAGTCAGAAACAATGTAGAACTTCCTATGTACGAACATCAGTTCAAGTAGCTATAACACATTAGCACAGAGATAAGATTGTCAATTGAAATGCCATATTGGTAGAGGTAGTGAGAATATAATCAGAAATCGGAAGTATAAGGGTTTGAAGATGATATTCAAGGAGTACAATCAAATGAAATAAATTTGGAAAGAGAAAAAAAGAGGGACACGAAGAATTCAGAAGATTAGAATTTGGGAGAACACAAGGAGTGTATGCACCTGTGCTGTAGCAAACGATTTCAAGGCATTTCATTCAAGATCTCCGACCATCATTTGTTATCATCTCGTGAATCTAGACCAGGTAGTTTACACTTACCAACATGGCTCATTCCACTTTTCAATGACCTCATGGACTTGTTCCTTAATAACTGTATTACTTATTCGGTGGTTTCAGGAAATACGAGCAATGTTTCGAGGAAACCTATGATGGAATACTAGTAACCCATGAGTATCCCCTACTCTCACTGGCCGTATTTCACAGCCATAATGTTGGACGGAACGAACTGCTGCGCAGTAAACCCGTCCTAAGCCGTAAATGAGGCAATTAGGCAAAACCCAGTCGAGCCTTCTGTATGAGTGCTTGGATTTCGTCAGACACCAGACCACAAGGGCTGATGAGAATCCTAAGATAAGTAAAGCGTTCGACACTCTCAACTACTTCAGTCCCTATCATTAGTTGAGGCGTCGATGCAACCCAATCCTGAAGCAACAATTCATTTCCAGGTGAAGAATCACATCCCAAACATGTTTGCATTGCTGATTAGGGTGGTCAGAAGATTGTGCATTTTGTCATCGGCATATTCTAAGTCAACAAGAATGAACATCTAAACAAAGTGTAATTCTCAACAATTTACAATGAAATAAATTATCTCTCTACATGAAATCATATTTAAAATGGAAATAAACTGGAATAACACTTGCTTTGTATGTTTTAAGTCATTCACTGGAGTAAAACAATTCGTGAAAGAGTAAATGTATTAGCTTGGTGGTTGGAGGTAGTGAACAAGAAAACCTGGACCCGGATTTCGTGCTATTTGGCACTCGTCAGCAAAGTGTACCTGTTATCTCGAAGGAACTGGTGCTCCCTGACAGATTCGATCCCGTGTCACTCATCTTAACATTTGGAGATGTTACCACTGGATTACCCGGGCCTTGATTGACCTCCTTTAGGACTGAGATGTATTCACAACCACCACAATCTCAACATAGTGTACGCAATGTCAAATGACCTAGACTAGTGATCACATTACCACTTGGTCGATGGCATTCGATCTGCACTAAGAACGACCTGACACACGTTGAAAACCTGCAAGAAATGGACAGTCGTTTTGTCTTGGTATGGGACTGTTCAATAATATGCAGCCACAATCCCACACATGCGGTTCGAACCAAGGACTTTTGGTCTTACACGTGGACTCTTAAACTCTAGAATTCTGAGCCGGTATCCGATGGTGTTATTATCTAACTTCATTCAATACATGAGAGCTTTGTTGCACGTAATATGACCCCAGTTTTGATAAACGTATGAGTATGCTATGAACATTAATTTTACACTGAACTCCGTATATTACCTAGGTTAACCCCATTGATGTGACGGCAGTTTTCAGAAGCCAAATACTAGTTGCGTTGGAGGAATCTATATCAAGCATTCGTTTATCCAAACAGACATTCAGAATAAGAAGTGCGGAAGCAAAGCGGAGAAGGTGAGTGAGATAATTCATTTGATCAAGCGTGACTGGACATTTATAGTCAGACAAAAAATAAGTCACAGACACGTAATGAATAAGGTAAGGAATGTACACACATACATTTATATAAAAACAGTCAAGCTCAATAACCAAATAATGCTGAATAAGGTAAAAGCGTGAATCGAATAGAATGACTAGATCGATTTGTCCAACTAGAAGCTGGAATAACTTTTATGGGTTTGACACAGTACCAGACACTACAAGTTTGTGCAATACTTTTGGAAAATTTGTAATTCCCGAATTTATATAATAGTAGTAGTTTGACAAAATATATCAAGAATGTAACTACAAACTAACGAGAATGAAATACCTGACTTAATGTTTATTCCAAATATATTTAATGAAACTTAGATAGCTAATAAAGACTATTAATTGCAAAACAAAAAGAAATACCCCAAATGATACTAATTTATATTCACTATGTGATGTAAGATATTCAGAAACCTTTGATGCAATAAACAAATATCAATCAGACAGTTTCGAATTGAATGAAGTTCATTCAGTTTAAATGACTAAGATTACCTGTTATGTATAATGACGTTTAAATTCCATCATCTTCTGAAAGGTATCCCACTTGTCACAAATAAATCGATTTATATCAGTGCATTTAAACACCAGTCAAGTAATCACTATCAAAATGATCATAAGTACTATTCTACAACAGCTTTAGCAAATAACATCGTGGTAAAGATCATTTCATTAGTTTTGTTTACTGATTTTTTATTAACGGGAATACTAAAAGTGATATTAAACTCATTCTATTGATTGTTAGTTAAAAAACCATTCATCATTTGAAAACTAAAACAGTTAACTTAAAAAGTTAATAAGAATACTATTGATATAAATGTGTGTTTAAAGACGAAACATAAGTGGCGTTGCATTGCAATAAAATTGATTTAGTATTGTTTATTTGAATCTTCTCATTGATGTTTAGCACTCCAAATGATTATCAATTCATGGAATGCAGGTTCATCCAACTGACGAGTTCCGAATAAGACGAAATACGCATCCTGAATTCTACTGCTAACCACTATCCATCTATGCTCAATAAAATTGTTTCCGGTATAAAATTTTAAATAATAAATCAATATATTAGTAGTAGTAGTAGTACTACACTCAAAGTTTTAAATAATATAATGCCGGTTCAGTGGTCTAGTGGTTAAGTGTTTGCGCGCGAAACCAGTAGGTCTTGGGCTGGAATCTCGCACGTGGCGAGGTCTTAGATGCGCACTGCTGAGGAGACCCGCAATAGGATCAGACCATCGCCCACTGCTTCCAGGCTTTCCATGTTGGTCTAACTTCAACTGACTCATGATCTTAACCATTGAAATAAATTATTTAATGAATCAACCATATGAGGCATTCAATTAATGCAATCTGATATACTACAAATTGTCACAAAATATGCAACCACTAGAACTCATCATCACATTGACTAATTGACTGACTGTAGTTAATAAAAATACCATATCAACTAGCACATCATATTACTAAGTTAGTGTAATTAGAAAGTGAGAAAACTCTTTCATGATATAGAAAACATAATTCAGTATATCTAACTTTGTAAAGCTTAAAAAGTAATTAGATTAGTATTATTCTATCAGTTATACACCCATTCCATCATTAATTGACTGTAATTGAAACAAGTGTCTTCACATTATTACTAACTATCTCATCATATTAGACAAAATCATAAGAAAATAACAACAACAACAACAATAGAAAAACCCATTTGAATACTTACCCCTTTAATTAACTCCATAGAATCATAATGATTATTATGAATATGATCATTATTGTCAATTGATTTAAATGATGTTCTATCATGTGAAAAATGACAATTTTCACCATAACAACATCCAATTGTTAAACTAACATTTCAATAAGAAGAAGAAAGAAAGAAAAGAAAAGAATGAAAGATTAAAAATGTCTTACTTATCAAATTTACATGGTGGTTTTTTATTAGGAATATGTAGAAATCTACAATTATCCCCATACCAACAACCTTCTTTAGTATTAAAATAACGACATATTTGATTTCTTAAATAATTAGACATTTTCTTTCTAAATATGATTAACAATGAATGAATAAATAAATAAATAATGGACAATGAATTATTGATTAATTGAATGATTTAAATAAAGAAAATTTAAATAATAAATAAAATCGATAAATCGATCAAATTGATTGATATATGAAATTACTTTATGGAATATTTTATTGAGTATTCAGTATTACGATAATAAGCAATAATGATGACCCAACTAAGTTTATCATTCAAAGAATAAATAATTCAGTTGAAGATATTTCTTTTATCTCAACATGAAATTTGATTTACAATAGACTATTGTAGACTACTGAACCACTGAGTTGGCAACCAATTGTGGGTAGAGACAGGTATTTATCACAGTACAATAGAAGGTGGTCGCACAGTTTCGAGGATTGGTTGATGTTAGACACTAACACCATTGGATGCCGGCTCAGTGATCCAGTCGTTTAAGCGTTCGCTCAAGAGACTGAAGGATTTGGATTCAAATCCTGCGAGCGAGATCGTCAATGCGCACTGCTGAGAAGTCCCAAAACAGGACGAAACAGCCGTACAGTCCTTCCAGATTTCTATCGGTGGTCTAACACCAATCGGTTCATGATTTCAATCAAAAACTTAATAATCTTCACAACCCTTGTACTGATATTGTAGACTATTTGACTACTTTATTGAAGACTATGCTGAATGAATGTGAATGATTGAATGAATGTTGTCAGATTATAGAAATTGTTTGAAATGATTAGTCAAGGTACTTGTCTATCATAAACTCGATGAAAATAAAGACAGTTCGGAGTTAATTGATGTTGAGAATTGTGTCAAATTGTTTAGTGACAATATAGAGTTGAAAGCAGAATAACAGCATGTCATTTAACTAGTAACCAGTAAAATAAACTCAACTATTAAAACCCGTTTCTAGTAACAATTATTATCATATGTTCACTGGTGACTGACTTCAAGAGGTATTTAGTGGAGTTGTATTGAGAAGCCTTGACCAATGGAGTTCAACCAGATCTGTTGTGAGATAGTAAATGATTGAAGACAGTGATGAACGGTGACTCAATTTTGTGGATTGTTTGAAGTTAGACATTAAAACCGTTAGATGGCAGCCGGCTCAGTGATCAAGAGGTTAAGTATTCGCGCGCGAAACTGATAAATCATATGTTGGAATCTCGAGAGACGAGATCGTGGTTGCGCACTGCTGAGGTGTCTTACACTGTAGGACGAAACGACCGTCCAATGCTTTCATGTTTTCCATCGCGGTCTAGCTTCAATTCACTCATCAACCTAACTATCAAATGTTTTGTTCGTTACATCCAATTGTCAATCAATTTCCAGTGGTTAATTTCAATGAATTATTTCATTTTCATAACTCTCTTAAATTCATTTCACTGTTCAAAGATAGATGATATTCAATATTGATTGAAAATATGTGACTATGAGGATAATAGTTTGTTATTTATTTAAAACAATGCAGTAGATCTGAAGCATATACTTTGTATTCATCCATGTTGTATTATTTTTTCTCAACTTTCAAATGATGATTAGTCTTATCATAATGATACTGTTATTATTATGTTGACAGAAGTTGAGATATCTCAGCTATGTGAATGATTTGTTTGTAAAAGTTTGAGAAATTGCCAACTGATTGTACATTTCAATATAGATTATATCTAAACTCAATCTGATGTAATTTAAGTCATAAATGTTTATTGAGTCTTAAACAACTGTTTCCAAACCGATCCTATTTTATGACCAACCATGATACATAGAAATAACATGCGGTTACTTGTAAACATATTTACTAAATAAATTGACCGAATTAATCACTGTTCAAAATATATATAATCAGTGGACTAACTATATTGAAAACCCAAATGCATTGAGCTAGTTAATAAACCCTCATTGAAACAATTATTTTTCATAAAGTTCGTTAAATCAATCAAAAAGATCGTTTTAATGTTGAAAAAGCACAATACATTAATTAGTCGTGTTTACTTTGACAGTTGAAATGATGAGTTGATTAATGTAAGTTAGAGCACCATCGAAAACTTAGAAGCAATCGACGAGCGTTTCTTTCCAGTACAATAGAACTCTTCAACAGTGCATATACGCCATCCCACATATGAGACTCAAACTCAGCACCTATGGTCTCGCGCATAAACACTTAACGTCTAGAACTGTGAGCAGATTTCCAACAGTGCTAATATCTTACTTCAATGATAGTCTAGATTAGATCGATCGATTCATGAATTTAACTTTTAAAATTACTACAATCTCCAAAAATCCCCTTTCTTATAATATTTGACTTTACACATAAACACGTCTCAGTGTAAGGATAGACTTTTGCACACATCAATAAATCTGTTCTACTACTAACGGTAGCCGTAACTGACAAATTCGTATTGTAGATGCGGCGGGTATGAAAGCACCGTTCTAATGGACAATTACTGAAAATGAATCCAACGTTTGCACTTTAAAAAAAAAGAAAAGTGGAACACGTAGAATGATCTCGAACGACTTTTTTGGGTTTTAGCACGTTAATGGACTACTACGTAATTATGCGATAACTACGGAGTCATGCGAATATGGATTCACACCCTCAACCAATCCCAAGCATTTCAAATACGGAATGTCCACCCTGATGAACGTAACCACTCGGTCTTTAAAGTGATTTTCAGCAATTTTGAATATTTATAGTTGTGTTCAGTATTAATTTAGATGAAACTTTGCATACTTTGTATTTTAAAAACTCTTGCTTCTGAGTTTTTCTCTTTCGTTTCAGAAGATACAACTAATTGTTGTGCTTTACTTAAGAAATGGTGGATGAAAATCATATTCAGCTTGTCATTAGTTGTATCCAGAATAAGAATATCTGTGTGATCAATGTTAAGACAACTAATATCCTTCTGTAAATAGCTGCAGACCCACATTTACATGTCCTGAACTACTTAGTACTTAGTGTCAAACAACTATTTGATCAAAGTATTTATCAAGCTGTTTTCTTTGTCAGTATTCATTAACAGGTATGATCCATGTTTACAAAAAACACCGTAATACTATATGAAAAAGCTTTTAAGATTGCCAATTCACTTACAAAACATTATCAAGACGAATAACAGTAAGTAGTCAAATGACTGAGTATTAAAGGTGTACTAATGTTTATCCTTTATTTTTCTTCTTACCATGAATATGACAAATTACGACTTGTCTTTTCATATTAGTTTGAAGGTCTTCGTAAAACTTATTCTATTCATTCTAGACAATTATTGTAAATTCTTCTTCAGTTGATATCCTGTTTGTTCTTTCACACAATACCTCACAGTTGATAATTTCTGATTAAATAATATGACATAGTTTATTAAGGCGATTTTTAATGAATACTTGTACATTTCTGATGATGGCGCTAGTAATCGTTTGAGTTTTAGATCTAAACAGCCAAACTTTCCCAACGTTTATGTTGAAGATTCTGACATACATCTTAGATGATAATTGTCTTGAGTTTCAGATATTCATCAACTGTAAGACCGGTACGTTTGCTTTACCAATCGATCGCTTGATATCTCATTGAATCTTCTGCTTCTACCATTTGTGCTCTTCAGGTATGAAAAAAATTTCAGTCTTTTCCAGAACTTAATTATTATTACACTGTAAGTTTGGATGTGACTTTTTATATATCTGAAGACATCCAACCTTTTGTCGTTTTCCCGGTAAGCAACACAATTCACAAATGCTTTATTGGATTACGTTAATTCTTCGCTGTATTTATCTTGGTTATGATGACTTTAGGTATGCCGATCACACAACTTTTTGGAAAATTTATTCTGTTACCTAGTTATGGAGTGTTTTTATTTCTGAAAAGTAAATGCTCAGTATAGTTTCGTTTGAGCTGGATGATGAAATCATTGAAGTTCTTAAACAAGTATATGTTAAGTTCTACCGTTCATCTTTTCAGTTATAATAAAATTAATTTGTGAATAATAGCTAAGGTTTCTACTTCTAGTTTTTCATATTTTAATGTATTTGTATCTACAGATTATAAATGTGATTCTTGTTGACAGAACAAAGTCACGCGCACGAGACTGGTAGGTCCTCTATTCGAATCGCGCGAGATAGGGTCGTGGATGCACACTGATGAGGAGTCCCACAATAAGACGAAGCGGCCGTCCAGTGATTCCAGGTTCTCCATAGTGATCTAGCTTCAAACGCCTCATGATCTCAACTATTGAAAAGAATTAACCATTTGAAAAAAAATAATCCAAAGTAGATTTCTAATATATGCAAGATACTCATTGTCCGTTGACTAGATGACATCAGCAACAACCTTCTGTGGGAGAGAACAAACCAGCTTTCAACTGAGGAAGAAGTTAAGAAAATACGTTGGAAGTGAATAAAACATACATTACAAAAATCATCAAACTGCGTCACGAGACAAGCGCTAACATGGAATCTTAAAAGAAAACGGAAAACATGAAGTTCAAAGAACATACTGCGTCGGAATGTAGTGTCAGTTATTATGGCAAGCCCATCTACCTTATTCTATCTTGTGGACATCCTATTTTATTCATTCTACTTGAGTCACATTTTGACCTTGTTAATTATTCGCTTATCAGTCCTGACTGTTTTTATATGAGCGTATATGTGTGTGCCCTTCTTATCGCATTAATCACATGTCTGTAGCTTTATTTTGTCAACCTATAAATATGGAGTAACTCTTGACTAAAATGGAGTTGGCTTCCCAGCCATCTTCCCTGCGCGTCATTTTGCTCTGTTCTATTGCATTCACTTTACATACAAAATATATGTATTCAAAGGCCATTCTCGTTAATTGACTTATCTAAATTCCGTTATTGACTAACGTGATTTAAGTCGACGATGATATACGAGAATAGGCGATAGCAAACATTCATACACTCTGGAGTCAGATCACGGGCCGTCACAGGAAATCGGAAACAGGCATGAAAAGAAATATCAAGTGGAAAGAGCTGGAAAGGACTGCCGAGGACAAGAATAAATGGAGAGTGGTGGTGGGCGGTCTATGCTCCTCGATGAGGGGTAAG